AGAGCTTTCATTTGAATACCCACATGCATTTTTGGTATATTTTTCATATATACATATATATATAATTTATATAAATATATGAAAAAATGATGTGGGTACTCAAATGAAAGGTCTCAATAAGTGTAACATCAGGATGAGCTTATATCTTTAAAAATGTCAATAGTTCACAAGGTACAAGGTCATTTCTTAATTATGTATTTAGAAATAGAGCATTTTCGAATGCAGCCTAAATACTTATCATCATAAATTGACTATTGGTGAGAATGATATGAAACCATGAAAAAACATAACTCCAGGTCAAAACTTTTCCAACGATACCAAATTTAACTATAAAACTTTTACTTTACTCCGTAAAATAGCATAATATCAAAAAAAATATACTTTAAAATATTTATTTCTACGCGTTTATATTTAAAATCTAATATTGTACAAGCCTGAAACTAAACAATCAAATTATATTAATTAATGAGAAATTTCAAGAAATACATTTACACGTTTGATGGTGTAAAATTTAGAATTCACACCGTTCAAATTTAACATTACACTTACTGTGATTTTCACACCGTCCGTGTTAAAAATTTTTACACCAAATCATTTACACCACACCGAGTCCAAAAAATTTTTTACAGTGTAACTACTATATAGTTTCTAAACATTTATTACTGTAAATATTTAATAACTTGTTGTATATTTATTATATTACGTTAATTTATGTTTTATTTGATTTCAGTCTAATTGTAAAATAAACATTAATTTGTTCAATTTTAATTAATATCTAATATTATTTAGTGTTTCATAAATTCTTTACTGATAATACACCGATACGGAGTTACTGTACACCGCTGTAACACCGATTTAACACCGCCGAGAACCATTTTAACACCGGTGTTGTTAATTGACCGGTGTTGCACAGCGGTGTTAAAATGAGTCCATTTTAACCGCTTTTTTTACAGTGTGCAATAAGTATTTGTCAAATGAATTAAGTATCGAAGATTAATAATCAATAATTTTTGTTAGACAAACCATGTTAATAATTGAAATTATACTCTGGTCAACAATTGGTCTTGTAAATTATTGAATGTACTTAACAGCATGGCTTCGTTTATTGATTTAAATATGAGTACTGAAGATAAAATTGTATCAGAATACAGAACAACTAACAACAATATTGAAATTATTAACATTTCAATGAATAGATTATCTAATGTCGAAACTATTATAGATTAAAAATAAAAGTTATTTCTAAGTCTAGTAAGTATAATACTACACTGAAAAAAAAATTTTTTGACTGGAGAGTAAATTTTCTTGGCTCAAGAAAATATTAAGGAAGATTGAAAATTTCTTGAACGAAATCAAAGTTTCTTGAGCCAAGAAAATTTCTTCTTGCTCCAAAATAATTTTTGTCTTCCTTAAAATGTTCGTGGTGCAAGAAGTTTTTTTTTTTTGTGTACTGGTCAGTATTTGGAATATTCGCGGTCAATATTTAGTGCGTAATGGTCAATATTCGGAGAAATTAGCTGTAACTTTAATTACTACAATTTAATGTTTATTAATATCTATTTTATAAACAAAAAGTATAATAGTTTGTAAGTTAAAACTATAAAAAAGCATAACAGCCGGTTCAGCTCATAAACTCTTCCAATAAATTTACAAATAATCTATTTATGTTCATTTTATCTAAACTGGTTAAAATTTGGAGCCTTTATCCTATAATTAAAATTAAAATTAGAAAATAAATTTTTCCTTGTCTTTATTAAATTTTAATGTAATTCATTTCTTATTTCTTCTTAGGGTTCATTTCAACCCCAAATTTTTTTTATGTTGTATTTATTTTCAAAATTTTTTGAGTTTATTAAAAATTAATTTTTCGATATTTATTTGACAGTATGCTGATCTGTCGGTCCGTTTAGCGCCACCACATTTACTTCAACCAAAACCAGATGTTAGAGATTTAGTCTTCGGAAAATACTTTACTGATCATATGTTCAAAGTTTTTTTTCACGAAGATTTAGGAGGATGGCAAGCGCCAGAAATCACTCCTTTGGAAAGTCTAGTTTTACATCCAGCAAGCAAGGCTCTACATTACGCCGTACAAGTAAATTATTTATTTGTAATTTTTAATGTCAAAAAAATTCCGAACTGTTTGAACAAAAATTATCATGAATCAATACAGACAAAACTGCAGTTTATTATTAATTTTATTATTGATATTCTTTTTATGATACTATTTTTTCACCGACAGAAAATCTATTTTGATTTAAGAGAAATTGATTTTCTAAGAAACTTAATTTGAAGACAACTTGTTGTTTATTTTAAAAATTTTTTATCTTGAATCTCGTTATTTTGGCTTGAGTAACCCATACCTTTGATCAATAACTATTGACGCAAGAGTCTATTATCTTCCATCAATAGAATCAAATGCTTTATTCAAGAATAATTCCTTTTAATTAAAAACAATTTAGTTTTTTTGCCCTCTGGGCGGAAAGTGGCAACTTTGGTCCCACTGCACTAAACAAAGTTGCCGCTTTCCGCCTTCCTCGGACAAAAAAATATTATACAGCTCTTGAGAAGTAAAAAAGAAAACCTCAGATCACATGTTTGTTGACCTTGGCTTCGCCTCGGCCAACAATTACATGTGATCTGAGGCTTTTCTTATTTTCCTTTCCAAGGGGTGTAATATACTATTCTTTTATGAATTTTATATTCTTAGTTCAAGAACTAGTTTCTTCATACAAAACAGTAAAAAAATGTTTTAAAAAATCGAAATTTTATCTTCAAAATATTCTGAAATGTATCCCGAGTCAAAATATTAGACGTAAATTGAACCTTTTTAACGTTAGTAATGTATTGAACGTTAAAAATGAAAAGAAAAGTTACTAAGAGACAATACAAAATTTTCTACTGTTTTATGACCTTGAGCTCTTCCTAAAAATACATATAAGACACGTTGGAAGACATAGCATTGGGCTGCCCAGTCGCGTTTTGATGAAATTGTCCTAAAACCTTACACTAGCTAACTAAGCCTCGGTTTTTTAATTTTAGTCCGCGTCGTATCCTTTAATAACTCAAAAACACAATGACAATTATAATGCATTAGAACGTATTTCGGTTTTAAGCATTTAATTACTCAAAAAATTATTTATATACATCAATTTTTAGTTTAGATAGATTTTATTCGATTCCTGATATGAAGATACATTTTGAAGACGATCAAAATGTTTAACCTCCATTTTTAATGTTCAATACTGTCTTAACGTTAAAAACGTTTAATTTACGTCTAATATTTCAATTCGGGATTCAAGACTTTATTTCATAAAATCAAAAGTAGCAGAAGTTCGATAATTTTTAATTTCAATAGTTTTAATTTAATAAATTCTTAAATAGAGAACTTTTCGTCCTTAATCTAATAATTTTAATTTTTTTTTATTCAAAAGTTAATTTTTTGTATTAAGAAAACTGAACATCTTGAAACAATAAGAGAAACATATCGACGTTCTAATTAGTAAATTGTCTAACTCTATTTCAGAGAATCTTTCATTTGTACGAAAAAACAGTTAGTTCAAAATTTATTATCACTTTAAAAAACAATTTAATATCTAATAGAGGTATAACATTTTAGTTTGGATCATTCAAATAATTTATAATTAGACTATTGCTACATCAAAATATTAAAAAATCACCCTCTAAAAAATAAGGAGTTAGACTAATTGCTAATTAGACCGTCGATATTGAAGAAAATATATTTCTGTAAGTAAAGTAGTTTTTCTTCAGAACTTAAAAAAATAAATTCTCTGAATATTGCTCAAGTATTAGCTAAACAAATAATTCTCAAAATACTTTTTCAAGATAAGAATCTTTAAATATGCAATAGCTCAGACTATTACCGTGTATGACGCAACATCCAAGATATACGAAGAAAAAAAATGACATTTACTGTGAAGAGAATAATAACTGCTACTAAATTAACGTATGACTCATGGTTTTAAGCTTTATTGTTTTTTATGGTAATTTTCACGATGAAGATGACAACCTGTACAATTTAGAGTTTAAATCTACAAATTACTTAAAAAAAAAAAAACAATTCAATACAAAAAATGTTTTATTTTGTTTCTCAATAAACTGTTAAAGTTACAGTTAACTTATTCGAGCTTTTAGTTTTAAAAAATTACTTTTGTTATTTCTTCTTTTCTATATTAAATATTAAATAACTAAAAAAGACAATTCTAATAATTGTTTCAGGCATTTGAAGGTATGAAAGCTTACCGAGGCAAAGATGATAAAATACGGTTGTTTCGCCCGGAACTAAATATGCAAAGATTGAACCATTCAGCAAAAAGATTAGGTTTGCCATCATTTAATAGTACACAATTCATAAAATGTTTGAGTAGGTTAATTAGCATCGATCAGGAATGGGTGCCGCATTGTGAAACGGCAAGTCTATATATAAGACCTACTGTAATCGGGGTGGATGTAAGTATGATTGATAATATTGTAATCTCATAACAATAACAGAGGTGAACAAAGGCCATTAAAAATATAATTCAGTGATGCAAAGAGCTTGATGTAAACATAAGAAATTATAACATAAGTTTATTATTATCTCATTTTGTTATAAATTAAATTTAGGAAGATATTTTTTTTTTCTATAATAAAATTTACTTTTTTTTATTTATTTCTCTTATGTTAATAAATCCAATAGTATTTGTCATTTTTCGAAGAATTTTTAAAATTATCTCTGAAAAAAGTAAAACAAAATTTTGCGCGTAACGCACTGATATTCAAATGATAACACTTGTCAACATCCATCAATATCTTCAAAGTTTTCATCATATTAAAATTGACGTAATCAGACTTGCAATGTCGATTATTTATTCTTATTTTCGAGAAAGACAAGGTCGCGTTGAGATAGCTGCAGGCCAGATGATTAAGAAAATAAAAACACTGAAGAAGCATAAGATAAAAAACTATCATTTTTATTATTTATCATTTATTTTATTTTTTTTTTATTTATTGTAACAATGTAGCCTACGTTGGGTGTTGCAACATCTCGCTCAGCACTCTTGTATGCTATTCTGTGTCCAGTTGGATCCTATTTTCACGGACAAGTCAGTAAAGGTGTATCACTTCTCGCTGATCCAAGCTATACCAGAGCATGGCCTGGAGGCTGTGGTGATTCAAAATTAGGTAGCAATTATGCTCCTACCATTCATATTCAAGAGAAAGCTGAAGAGAAAGGTCTTCAGCAAGTTTTATGGCTTTATGGTGAAGATATGCAACTAACAGAAGTTGGAACAATGAACATTTTTATGTTTATCATCAATGAGGAAGGAGGTAATACAGATATTTTATAACTATATGTCTTTTAAAACTCATTATCATTACTATACTGTACTTAGAGAAAAAATTTATTTTGAGAAAAATGAGCAATGTTAGGGTAAATGCACTAATTATTGACCGATTAAAGTTTTCTTTTTCTGTACTAAGCTTTAAAAAATCTATTAGCCTACTAAAAACAATTTGTAATGGATTTTATTAAAGTTAAATACTTAATTAATAATAATTAATAACTATTTATAATAAAAATTAACAAAATTATATTAATTTTGTTATTTGAATCTAGAAATACTAAAATCACCAATTATTGACCGAAGAAACCCAATAAATGACCGACCGTTCTCCAATTAATTGACCGCTCAAATAATTATAAGTAATTTTGTAAAGTACATGTATCTAATTAAATTTACTCAGTATTTTTGAAGCATTAACGACATCTTTAACAAAACTAAGCTTACAATATAATTTTAAAACGTACTTTTTTATAAAACAATATAAATAATAGCAATAATATTAACATAAAGTCACATTTCTTTAGGTCACAAATAATCACAAATTCATTTTGATGACGATAATTCTTCTGATTCACTTGAAATTTTTTTATTCTTCTTCTTTTTTTCAATTATTTAAAGCTTTTTTACTAGCTTGTAACTCTTTTTTATTTTTTTAATTGCTTAGCAATTTATTCTTCTAATAATTCGTTTTTTGATATAACCGTTCACTAAAAAAATTAGAACAAAATAAAATTTAATAATAAAAAAAGATTTTAAGTATTATTTTAATTATAAATATACATTTTATAATCATTATTTTTATATTTACTAAACATTGAATGACTAAAGTACTTTAAACATTTGACAGATTTAATTTTGAGGTTAAGAAGTTTGTATTATAAATATACGGTCATTAATTGGATTGTGATAAAATCAGAGGGTCTAATAAATGACCGAATGAATTTTTTACTGGGTAATGGGCTTCTGACGGATCCAATAGTTGACCGGTCTTAAAATAATATTAAAACTGATAATTTTACTGTATTTTTCCATAGAAGTTGGAATCTGATCTTTAATTAACATAATAAAACTAAAATATTTTATATTATGTCAATTAATATCACTAAATTAATAATGAAATGCACTCACTCTCCAATTGTACGCTAGTTATTTTTGACCGGTTTATGGCTGGTCGCGTTGTAAACAAACTTAAAATATTTTTTTTAAACCTGTAATCACTGCGTAATAAATTGCGTAATTTTTTATTATGATGATTTAATTCCATATTTTTTTATTTTAATACTTTAAGAAAAAAAAAACCCTGTAAAATATTAATTAATTAACTTTTTTATATATCGGTCAACTAATTGGTGACCGGTCAACAACTGGTGCATTTACCCTAATAGGAAATTAATTTATTGAAAATTTTAAACAATTTAATTTTTTAGCTGAAGAAATAAAAATTTTTCTCACAGTAACTTTCTTGTTGAAGTTTTCTAGATTTGGAAAGAAACAATTTTGGATGCAAATTTGCAAGCTGTCTATCTGAAATTGTTTTTTGTCAGATCAAAAAAAATTTTTTTTTTTTTTTAAGTTACTGTGAGAAAAATTATTATTTCTTCTACTGAAAAATAAAATTATTTAAAATTTTCAACAAATTTAATTTTTTTTACAACAATGGCCATTGTTTTTTCACTCTGTGTATAACCAGCATTTACTTGCTTCAATGCAATGATCATAAAGTCAACGCTTTTACTTTAATCCACAAAATTTTCTTCTCTATGAAAATTCGCAAGTTGCCTATCTAAAATTGATTATGAGAAAAATTTTAATTTATTCAGCTAAAAAAATGAAATTGTTGCAAACTTTTAACAAATTTATTATTTATTACATTATTGCTCATTTTTTTAGTGATATTCAAGAAATAAGATTATTGAAGAGAAATAATGTTGAACTTAATTATTTTGAAGAAAATTACCTGATCACCGAGAATTTGTCATCTTGGTTTTTTCAAGTTGATTGGTCGATCCAATCAAATTCTTTAACCAAGAGTTGCAATTTATCATGATTAGTAAAACTCTTCTAAAAGTTTATTTTCTTGATACGAGTTTTAATTTCTTGCATATTTTGAGACAAGAATAAAATTTTGTTGATTAAAAATCAAATAATTTCGCTTTTTAGTTAAAATTTATACATAAATAAAAAAATGTATTTATTACAGAAAAAGAATTAATAACTCCTCCATTAAATGGGTTGATTCTTCCCGGAATCACTCGAATGTCAATATTGAATTTAGCTCACGAATGGAATCAGTTTAAAGTAATCGAGAGAATTATTACGATGGAAGAAGTGTGCCGTTTAACTTCTGAGAAAAGGGTAAGTGATTATCAGCAACATTTTTATCTACATAACATAAATAATATAATATATTAAACAAAAAGCAATAACTAAGCAGATTTAGTCATGTTGTTAATAAATAATTCTATTATGTTGTAAATATTAAAAAGAGTTCAATAACACTATTATTTTTTATTAACATTGTTGACGCTATCGCAGTAATATTTAAAAATAAATTTATATAAATAAACAAAATATCTTATTTATTTTTCAGATACTAGAGATGTTTGGAGCTGGAACTGCCTGTGTAGTGAGTCCAATTTCCAACATCCATTTTCTCAACCAATTTTTACACATACCTACTATGGAGCAACCGAGCCCTCTCTATGATATGATCCTTAAAAGTCTTTTAAATATTCAATATGGTTATGTACCCAATCATCCATGGATAATAAAAGTCGAATAATATTCTTCTTTTTTTATCAACTATTAAATCAATTTAATTTTCGTTTATTGTAAAAATCCTCAGTTTATGTTAAATAATATATGAAGAAAATTTAACTATTTGGATATCTTGCAGCTAGGTTCTCTATTTTTTTATAAAACTTTCATAATGATAATAATAAAGAGACATTGTACATACTACAAATTAAGGTAATGATCATTTCTATCAAAACTGTAAATATGTCTATTTTATTTTTTATTATTTGTCGGCAATAATAATAATATTAATTTTTTTTATACTTTGCTTACATTTATTGGTGTGACCTTATAAGATTCTTTTTAGTAGATTTCATAAAAATCTAACTATTGCAGCCGTCCTCATGGCACAACTTTTGAAAAATTTAGTCATTTTCTGACTCAGTTTGGCGAGCTGAGTCAGAAAATGTATATAGTTCAAAAGTTTATATAT